GGATTTTTTCAGCCCCCTTGGTTCGCCCCTAAATGGGAATTAATAGATCTAATTTGTCTTGGTGAAATATTTTCCCAATACAGACAACATGTTATTCCCTAGAGAATGAAATTCTTTGTTTTAGTGGTATCCATATTCATGTGTTTTCTCATGCACAACCATTATAAATAAAATGACACTCAAGGGAATGACATGTGGCAGGCCTGAAATGGGAAACGTTACGCCAAGATGAATAAGGTTTATGGGACCTCCACTGCATCATGTATTGTTGTGTTCTAGTCTGAAACTCAAAAGAAACTTGAAGAAATCAAGACGCTTCGATCAAAGATGAAGGAAGTTGCTGAAGAAGCAAGATCAAAGGACGATCTCTACAAGCAGTTGGTAAGCCTGCATCTTGGAGGTATTCTAAATAACTGTACATCAAAGTTAGGCTATTGGGTCAAGATTACAACAAATTTCAAGAGAAACTATGTGAGACGGATATGGGCTATGCCTCTAAGAAAAGGTGGTCGAACATCGTTAGCCTTTGGCTGTAAGAAGTAATAAAGCTTGGAACTATAATATGTTGTAGTTTTGTCTGTGACCTTCGTTGGTTTATACCAAAACATCTCGCAGAGTGTATTTACGAGTAAACCAAACAATTTTGTGTCTTGTTGATAAAGTGGCAGTTGACGATCTATCTTGTTGGTCCCAGGTTGTTGAATTGGAACGCATGAGCCGAGATGTCAACAGGTCAGCGTACACTCGCAGGATATTAGAGATAGTTGGGAACATCAAGAAACAGAAAGAAGAAATCAATAAGGTCAGTGCAGAGAGTGTGCAGACTGGTCTAGCTTTTGTATTCAACATTTATTAATATCTTTACTTAGGGAAGCAAGGGTGGCATAGCAGTAGTACGCACACCTCTAACCCTCTGGGGTCACGGGTTCAAATTCGGCATGACACCTGCAGCTTGGCGTAACCAGAGATCTTGCAGGGGGAGGGGGTGCACCTGTAGGCAATGATTTGCAGAACCAGAACCCCCCCAAAAAAGCAGAACCAAAAAAAAAAAAAAGCAGAACCAAAAATAAAAAAAACACTTACATGCAATTTTAAAGCAAATGGAGATAGATGAGCAGACTTTAAGCTTTTATGGGGGGTGCCTGTGCACCCTGTGCTCCCCCCTGGTTACGGCCCTGACCTGACGAATCTCTGTAGGTTTAGTGAAGAATAATAAATTTGTGGCCATGATTTTGAGTATGTTGAGTATGGTCTATGCTTGATGGTTGTTGTACTTGTCTTTATGCTGCTAATCTTTATATTTGAATACCAACAGATCTTAATTGATACCAAAACAGTTCAAAAAGAGATCAACCAGCTATCAGGAAAACTTGATCGTACCTTCACAGTCACTGATGAACAAATCTTCAAGGTGAATAATGTTTTGTTGCTCAGTCTTCATACCACTCCACCATCACCCATCTGATTCCCTTTATGCAGGGCTTAACTTAACAGCCGGTCAGTTGCGTTCATGATGACCAGCCAAATTTGTTTTAGCTTGGTCATACCTCTTTTCTAGCTCAACGTTACTGGTCATACTGAACTTTCAATTCTGAGCGCACATTGTCCAATATCTTGCCGTTCTCTTAAGTCATTATCATTTAATTCTAGGATGCCAAGAAAGATGAAGCCTGCAGAAAAGCATACAAGTATCTAGCAAGTCTCCACGAGGTATGCCTTAATTTCCTTTCTTAGGTTTTCTCTGTATTGCTCATGGCTTATATATGTTCTGGCATTAACAATGGTGTATGAAGAGTTAAATATTTAATTAAATAATTAAGGGCCAGCACACTAGCCAGCATAGCAACGTTTTGTCCAGCCAGCTCAATATTGGTAAAATTAATAAGGGCAACTGTATTTTATAATATAGTCTGTCAGTTTTAATAGTACTTTATTTTTTGTTTTATTTTGTAGAACTGTAAAGAACTTATCCAGGCTGTTGAAAACACTGGTTTTATCATGAGAGAAATAAGAGATCTTGAAGAACAGGTAAATTCGTTTTTGTAATATTCGCAAAGCAATGGTAGAAGAGCCTTGTTAATCAACATTCTAAAAATGTGATCCCTATGTGCTGTGTTCCAACAACTTTATAAAAGTGCTGATGGCTCAGTCATAGTCAATCATTTTAAATTCAAAGCTTTTTCATGTAAAATCTAGAGAGGTTTTGTACCATCACCTGATGGCTGCCACGACAGGAGGCACAACAATAGATTCTTTTTCCCCTGGGAAACTGAATTTTTTCTCATGTAAATCAGATTCAAACAAATTCGATTGTTCCTGCCAACTGTCATGGTTGCCATCAAGTGATGGTGCAAAGCCTCTATAGTTAGATAACCTTTTCCATGTTTTTTCTTTTGAGATTAAAAAAATACTATTGAGACATCCCTATTTACTATCCACCCATCCTTCCCTTCCATCCATATATCACATCTATCCATATATCCCATCTATCCGTATATCCCATCTATCCATCCATCCCAACTATCCATCCATCCATCTGCCCATTCATCCATCCCCCTAACCCATCCATCCCCCTATCTTATCCATTCCCCTATCCCATCCATCCCATCCATCCATCCATCCCCCTATCCCATCCATTCCCCTGTCCCATCCATCCATCCCCCAATCACATCCACCTATCCCATCGATTAGTGCATTCATTTTCTTTCATTTTACCACAGATCGATAATGAGACTCAAAAGAACACAGGCAACAACTTGGAAAGGATTACCGCTGACTACAAACAAATGAAGGAAGAAAATTCTGCTCTCACTAAGAAATTTAAAGCCCACAAATCATGAAAATTTGATCCACACAAAATATCTAGAATCCATAATAGAATATCAAATTATTAGTCAATCAATTAAATCAGCAGTGAAATTCTTTTTTAGAAAATTATAAAATATAGATGCCTTGCATGTGATGTCAAATCAGCTGGATCTGGGGGACAAAACGAAAGAATTCCAATCTCCTGAGAATTGGAACCTATTGTTTTGTCCCCCAGATTGAGCTGCATTCCAAAGTGCTGCAAGGGGTCTATATATCAGCTCAAAATCATGGAAGTTGGGGGCCATCATCATGTCGTAAAAATATTCTCTTATTATATCTTTATCCCAGAGACCTGTCATTCTTACTGGAAATGCACGAGGGGAATTCCAGAGACTTTTCAGCTCTGAGGTGGTAAGAGTGGAAGAGTGTGGTAGAATCTAAGAAATTAGTTAGTCCCATTCCTACTTTGCATTTTTAACCACAGTTCCCTGCTAGCAGAGCCTATTTTCCTTTTGTTTTGGTTGAGAGAGAAAAATAGACTCTGCTGATGTAGAACGTTATTTCTGTTGCACCTGCGTAGCGTAACTTAGCAATGCTGTCATGATTTTGACAGCCGCTCGTCAAACAACGTTTGGTGCCAGGGTGTGTTACATTTGCTCATGCGCACTACATGTACCTGGTTAAAAATCGGTTTTAAAACTGGTTTTGTTCGTCCATGATCGTGGATGGCGTGTATCAAAGGTCTAAATCGGCAGTCTCCTTCCTCCCTGCCTGAAAGAAGGGAGAGAAAGAGAAGAGACTCTGCTTGCAGGGAATAACCACAGGTAACCCACTTCATAAGGTGTGTGCAAAACAGTGCTATTTTCAAGAGCTTGATTTGGTGCCCTTCGATGAAATTGAATGTATTTTTTAAAGAATAAAAATGCAATAATTTTTGAAATTCAATATTTTTTATTAGAATATTATTTTCAGAATCCCCATTTTTAACTTTCTCAATACTTCCCAAAACTGGTCATAATTTTTATTTTAGTGACCCTAGTTTCCCTTTGACAAGTTTCTTATTGGAACAGGAATGTCAGTGAAGGAGAAATTTCCCCCAGTATCGATTTGTTTTAGAGGTTAACAAAAAAAACAAAACAAAAATTCCCCCCCCCCCCCCAATATGAATGAACTTGAAAATGAATTTAAATAATATATCAAAAAATTTATGTACCATTTTGATATTTCATAAGTTTTTATATACATCAAAATAGGTCGGTCACATGAATGCACTCTACTCTCCTTTGTATTGAATGTCAATTCTCCTAAAGTTAAATTATGAGCTGAATGGTAGTGAAAATGGCCTATGACAAGGTAGGAGAGCTTACGTAGTAAGGAGTTGATGTAATACAATGAATCACACATAATACAACTGATAGAATGACAATAGAATACGATAGATTTTCTGAATATATTACATGAACTGAGTACTATGTAGGTTCTCCCATTAAAGTGCATACCGTACATCGGTGAAAAACTTTGTAAGAAACTGCACAAAATTTAACAGATCAAAAACAGTTTTCCGGGTTTGATACTCTGATCAAAACACGCGGGAAGTTGAGAGAACACGAGAGGAGCGTAGGAAACCACGAGTTCTCGAGTGTTCTCTCAACATCCTGAGTGTTTTGATCAGAGTATCAAATGCGGAAAACTGTTTTTTGATCTGTTTTATAAAATAACAATCACGCCAAGAAACGAAAAAAATATCGTATTACTCTGATGTATTTGTAAAGGATGAAGAGCGTGTTTTGATACACTCTTCAAACATGGTTTTCGACCAATCGTAGCGCGCGTACTATCACAATTATTTTATAAAGTAGGTTCAGTAAACTGTAGACCTACAAAACTTTGCACTAATTTGTACGATTTTGTTAGATATATGGTGTGAACACAAGGTAGGCCAATAGCAGATTTTTTTACCCCATGAACCCAAATAATTAAAGGCTTACATGACTTGAATTAAACAACACAGCCCCCTGAGGTACCCCAGGATGTTGAATGTTCCAGATCATGTCAATTATTGATGCATACAAGCCAGACACTGCCCCAAGAAAGCCGAATACAATGAGTATAATGTTCTTGATGAGACTTGAAGTGCAAAGACTGTTGTCGTAAGAAAATGTCAGGATATGAATGACTGCTGGGAATATTATCTCCAATGCTGTACAGCCTACCGCTCCAACCAGTGAAATCATGTCACCAAGCAGTGGGACACAAATGGCTAGAACAGCTAGAATTGATTGGGGAAAAAAAGAGGTTATGAGCAATGGAAGACAAGGTGGAGACGTCGCAGGCAATGGTGTGGGCAAACGGATTTTCAAGTGATATTACACATAAAAACTTGCACAACAAATCTATGAATTACAAACAGATTTCTGGCCGGCAGTACAACGAAAAATATCACCCCATTGTTAGCAACCTTGGTTCATGTTACGATACAGTTTCTCTGTGTAAAGAGGTTAATATATTCAATAGAGAATAGGCATGGGATTATGATTAAAACGAAGTTACGTAAGAGGGATCAACTATAAGAAAAAGCATTGGTGAAAAGGTTACATCACCAAATGAAAGAATAGTGGTAATACACAGTCGTTTTTTTTATTCAAACGTGGGACGTTTGACACAACTCTGTATTACCATGCTTCGGGAGTAAATCGGAAAGCGGCCAAGCGAGATCAGACCGTGCATGGTGCGAAAGAATTTGGTGTTATGGTCATTAGCAAACAATAGAATTCCCAGAGCATTAAATCGTTGGGAAACGATCAATGTTTTCTGTATTTCTCATTCGCTTTAGATCGCTTTAAATGGGTTCAATAGTCTTGCAATTTTGTGTAATATCAGTTTAAGTTCTAATTTGTATCCTGACGTAGTTTTGAGAGAAATGATCAGCGAATTTTAGAATAATGGAAGATCTAGTAAGATTGACTAGAAAACTGAGATGAAAAGTGCGCATCAAATGTTTACCCCGTCTTCTGCACTATACGTTTTCACAAAATCGCATAAGTAGATTACCTTCAAATTGTTCCTTTTGAAACTAGATACAGAGTAAAACTAAATGAGCAATGACTTTTGTGAATATATAGCTCTGAAATATTAATTTCGGCCGTATCAAATCCATTGTTTAGTTTTGAAGTAGATTACGCACTATATTTAAATAATCTCAAATATCTCATAATTAGCTGTATAGATTTTTTCAAAAATCCCTACAAATGGAGGCATTTAGTATATAATTATGTGGTACGAAGCATTTTAGTGTTGAACGCTCTGCAAGGCTAAAATTATTTTCTAAACGAAAACAAATATTTCATCATAATCACGTGTTATGACGTCCGATCTCACTAAAAATTACATCAAACATTAATTCAATCTTTATGTGACTTATGTGCAAAAAAGATTTGCAATCGGATAAAACACGTTTATGCGCCAGCTTTCCAAAAGTGGAAGGTAGCGGTCAAGCGTGAGGGGGTCCAGCCACCTTAATTATAAAGAAATATTTCCCACATATAAGTTCATCTAAGTAGCGACTATTTAAGTTGATAAGATCAATAAGATCATTGAAATTATAGATTAAAAAGAACGTATTCAATTTTGAGTCAAGTTGCCGTTCCCAAGATTCACGTCTTGACACTCTGCTGCATAACATCTCAGAAGTAAATCTCGACTCTACTTCTGCAGCAGATGTAGATACAAGGTGCAATTTCCTGGTTTGAATCGTAAGTCGGGGCCTTCATACAATTCAGTAAGGGTCACATAGATATTCGTCCAGTTTGTTTGATTGTTTTTTGTTTTGTTGCTTGTCTGTTTGTTCATTCACTATTAGTTAACTAGCTTTTCTTTTTCTTTTTGCAAGGGGCGTCTGCTGCCAAACACTAAATCATCATTCCCGCGTATGGGCAATACACAAGGGAAACTTACCAGTAACACAGACAAAAAAAGTCCGAATTCCATAATCCGCCAGAGATGAGTACTTCTGGTCTAATTTTTCTTGTACTGATGGTATTATAATGGTCATTGGTACATAGAACTGTATGAAGTACGTAAAGAAGATAGCAATGGCGAGCGTCCCCTTTACAGCTGCATAATATCTGGAAAGGGAACGAGTAAAGATTGCGTTAAATGGTGCTTAACATTTGTTCTCGTATGCATTTTTCCTAGTTTTCTTGTTCGCTATATACGCAGTGTGGTCGAATCCTTGCGTTTTGCCGACGTTTCTATTTTTTTCTAGTTATATTGTTCGACCAGTTGACACTATAAAACAATCAGACCTCGTCTTCATTGGGTGTAAATTACGATTTTAAACGTTGAACTTACGGTGTGTTTGGGAGATTAAGAGTGAAGCTGCCAAGACAATGCATTCCACAAGATGAAAATCCAAGAATACTGAGGAGAAGATATACCAACACAACCACACCCATACCAATACTAAGAACGCAACGAAAATGACGAGGTGACGCCATAACATTCTCTAATGGCAGTATCTGAAATGAAAAGTTTGGTACCAAGATTTCCATTGATATATACAGCGAGCCTAGTTCAAAAAAAGTTGATGAAGGTTTTTTTGCACCTTACACACGGTGCAACATTGCATGCAACATTGTACGCAACATGCAGGACTGTTGCAGCGTGTCTACCCCAAAATTGTTGCAAGCAACATTGCATGAGACAAATCTGAAGATGAATCGCGCTCTACTCTTGCAACATTGCGCGCAACAAATTTCATGGTGTGAACATGACTGCAACATTGCCTGCAACATTTTGAAATTTCCAGCCAATCAGCTTGCACCAAATTATAACTGCTGACCAAATATCTTAACATAGCAGGCTGACACAAGCGATGTTGCGTGTGTGTCCCCCCGATTCAAATTCGTTGCGTGCAATGTTGCACCGTGTGTCAGCACCTTAACAGATCATCAAATGGGAATTTAACGTGTTTAGATTCGAGTAATTGCAAGGTACATGTATGTATTTTGACTGTTCGATGCTATCAGGTATCGAGTTGCTTGCTTCAAAAAAGGCGGGAAACTGGGATACGCTTACATCTGGCTGGCAGGAATGTAATGGTAGGATAATGGATTTTGTAACGAAAAATTCGATTTAGTTTCTGCATCTTTGTTTTTACGAGGGTAACACTTTAGGAGTTTATTTTGTGGAAGGAGGAAAACTGGAGAACCAGGAGATAAACCCTCGAAGCACAGAAGAGAACCAACTAGGAACTCTACTCACATACGACACCGAGCCGGCGGGATCCAAGCTTGGGTCGAGTTGAAAAGAGGCCTTGCTTCGGCATTGTGGGGATCGAAGCTAGACTGAGACCCAATTTTTTTCTGAAATACTGAACTTATGGTGTAGATAAACAATCATAAAATAACTCTTCTAAATCTCGCGTTCTGATTGCATGGTTGGGAGCGCGTGCTTTATGAGAGCACACAGTACGCTCGCGTACTTTCAGTTTCGTCATTCCTGTGATTGGTATTTTATAAAAGAATTTAAAAAAACTTGCTTGCTGTGCTGTGTTGAGTTATGAAGCACTTTGGGATTGGCAGATAACTCGAGAAGTGTCGAGAGGCACTCCGCAGTGCGTCGTACTTCTTCTGAACCTTCTCTTGTGTTCTGCCAACCCCCGCGTGCTTTATAACTGCACACAGCACGCGTGCGCGTTTTCTATTTCTTCAACTCACCACGCCAATTCCTTCCAATGAAAAGACGATTGCACCATACGCAAGCGGCACAGTCGCTAGTCCTGTAAACTTAGGCAGGGTTTCAGGGCTTTGCATGTTGTCACCGGCATAAATTAGTATACAAAAAACACCACTAAAGTAAAGAATATTGGAGACCATGGAGATGACAGCCAAAAGCTTTAACGTGCGAATGAAAGATAGCAGAACCGTTGGGAGTATCAGAATAGCTATCCATATTCTCACATCTAGTTGGATAGTGTCATCGAAAATCTAAAGGAATAACATTCAAAACATGTTATTTATATTTTTTGTAAGATATGAAACAAACAAACTATGAGTAACAAATGATGAATACAATGACCATGGGCGGATCCAGGGGGTGTCCCTAGGTGCACTGCCCCCCCCCCCCCCCCCCCCCCTTAATTAAATAAATAAAATCAGGATTATTGATTATGTCATTGCATTGTCACTTTTTTTATCACTTTGGACACATTTCTTGCAAAGTTTCTGGAATGAGTGAAGAGAGAGCCAACCCTTGCGTGCTGCGTGCAGTCATGACTGCGGACCAGGTAGGGATGCAGAACACAAGTGTTCTGGAGAAGCATGACGCATAGCTGAGTATTTATTGGTTACTGGGTTTAATGCAAGGCAGAGAAGACTACGTGTGATTGTAAAATGGGACAGCATGGCAAGGTTATGCAAGAAGGTTGACGACACACAGTGGCCCAATCACAGTCATGCGGAACACCATTTCAATGCAAGTACTCGGACAAGTACTGTCATTGTATATAGGGTACGTTTGTATATTGTAAGGATTTCATAACCACAAAAGGTTTACCAAAGCACATCAGTATATGGCATAGATGGTTGTACCTGCTTGAGACTTTCGGAGACAAAGATGAAATAAACACAACAAAAACCAAGTTGAGTGATGACGAGAAGTATGTTAACGATCATGCTGAAACAAGAAAGAATAGAAAATCCTTACATGAATGATTTTGATATTTTGTGCTCACACTCCTCTTTTATTCCCTCGAATGGCACTCATTCATTCTTGAGCATTTTTGGCTTTTCGTCAATCATGCGCAGTAAGAAATGAGTCTAATGTGCACCAATCTTGCTCCCAGAGCCATTTTTTTGCAGGGGCGGGTCCAGGGGAGGGGTGCAGGGGGTGCTAATTTGGAGATAACTGATTTTGTTTTTTGCCTTTGATTCTAAGGGGTGCACCCCTCCCTGGGTTAACATTGTGCGCAGCACCCCTCCCTGAACAAAACACTGGATCCGCCCTTACTTTGCATGCTCAACTAAATATTTCCTTGAGCATTTGCATTAAGAAATGAAGGCTTTGGAAACACGAATGAATGTACGTTTGAGTTGTCGTGTGGGTAAACCCTAGTCTCCCCCGCATTTGTTCTTAGTGTCATCACACAGTGAGTGTTGCAAGATGACAATAAGAATGGCGTGTCATTCTCTTGAGAATTAGATTCTTTGTTGGAGTTGTATCCATATTCATGTGTCTTCTCATGTGCAACCGAGCACAACCATTAAATAAAGAAAGGATACTCTAGGGAATGACACGTGGTCTGAAATGGGACAACATTACGCCCAAGCCGAGGAGGTCTATTATTCCAAGGTTGAGAAAAACTGGGTCAGGGTAGAATTGGAGTGTATTGTGGGACTCTTAGAAAAGAAACAGATGCCATCTTGGAAATATGTCTGCTAAAACGATCCCATGATGTACTGCATAGCTAATGCGACCCATCTATTATCTTCTTAACCTCGGCATGGCTAATAGAGGAGATGTTTGGTTGTCATTTCAGTTGGTAAGGCAATGCTGTGCATGCATCGTATGGATATCATCCAGCTTTAAGATCCTCAACTAACCTTCCTAAATGTCTTGCTTTTGGATAATACAAAGCTATGCTCATTTCAGCTATTTGCGCGTATCCAAGATTCAAGCTTTTTGTTCTGTTGGAATGCGAATTAAGTGTATTAATGAATAAATCACTCTAAGTATCATAATAAATAACATATTAAAAATATTAACAAGTATTAATGATTTGACAAACTCGTAAGAAATTAAACATGCACTCTCCCCATTAGCATGAAATTACGATAAACCTATTGAAAGAGGTGAAACCTCTAGCTCATGATTGAGTGCAAATGTGTTTCAAGGCAAGTTTCAATTCTGGATGCTATAACGAGTACCACTACACAATTCCTTGAAAAACTCATCCTTACGTAAGTGAAACAGAGTTCAACTTTATTGTGAATTTTGTTGTTTTTTTTTTGCCAAGAAAGGTTCACTAGGCTATCATATCGATATGTCACACTTAGAAAATTAGCAAAAGGAAGCAAAAATGTGCATCATGGCTTGAAGGAGTCTTATTTTTCAATATTGCAAATGAACACCTGAAAAGATTACCTGTTAAGAAACGTATGGTTGCACTGAACCAACAAATGCATGCAGTGAACTGCAATAGAAGCAGTTACTAGAAGTAAAACAGGACCAACCTGTAAAATATAAAGAATAGGACGGTATAATTAAGCACCAAAAAGGTAAAAAAATAATAATGCAGCATTAATATATTAATGGATGGCAGTAAAAATTTTGTACCAAATGTCAACATTGACTTTATGTCATTACATCAAATCTAGCTAGAAAGTATGATAATGCTAGTGGCATGGAAAATTTAGTCAAATATAGCATGGTTTCGTTGAGGGAAGAAACTGAATTGGCAAACCTGGAGAAAAACCCTCAAAACAAGAAAGAAACTCAACGAATTATTCTACTCATATGTGTTAAGTCCAGAAATCGAAGCCCGAAGCCTAAGATCAAGGTGAAAGAGGCAAGGGTACTGACCTGTTCCGTGCCATGCCATGACATTCCATAATTGTATGAACATGCATGGGTGGTAAGGGTAGAATACAAATTGGTATTTACTTAATTTCATTGCTCAGTCCCTTCAAAGGAATATTGGAAGTCACCACATGATGTATAAAATTTTGGGAGTACATTTTTCATGAGCCGATCACTGGCTCTCAATTATTTGCTGGTTTTCAATCTTTCTCAAGGGGGTAAAATATAACAAAAGACAAGGTGGCCATGTTGAGGGATATAACAAAAGAATTCATTGGGAAGTCTTTTGTTAAATTCAATCAAGAAAGTGGCTATGATGTAATGTGCTAACGAATAACAATGAGCAATCACTACCTACACCCGGGGGGGTACTACCACCCCAACTTGGGTAGGGGTGTGCCGCCAAGACCTCAAAACCCTGACCCTATCCCAGACCTAAAATTTTGATTTTACATACCCTACCCCAGACAAAAACTAAGAATTGTACACCCTATCCAATACTAAAAGATGGAAAATACGGTTTTACAATCGATTGCAATCAATATTTACTAACATTTTTATTGTTTTTGTGTCGGCAGAAAGCATAGCCTATTCGCCAGACAGAAACGACCAAATTGTTAACCCTATCCCAGACTAAAATGATACCCTATCCCAGACAAAATGTCAAAAAATGATACCCTACCCCAGACCCAAAAGCCGAAAAACCATACCCTATAGGGCGGCACATACCCGTATAGCAAATATTGGGGAGTACCCCCCCCCGGTACCTCCATGTTTGGCTTACCACTATTCCTGAATTCATCATTGCAAATGGTAGACTAAGTGCTCCAATCCCAATATTTCCTTTTATCACATGTACCAGAGTTGTTAACCACCTAAGATAGAGATGCTTAGATGGTAATGAATACATCATCAACAATTTAAATTAATTATGCACATTTATTATCAATACATTTATTAATAATTATCTAATGTATTTCTTTTAAAATATTAAAGCCAGTGTACAGATTACTTTTGGGAGTGGACTCACAGTAAATAATTCAATAAAATTAAGTAAGTCAATTTGATAGTCTGACAATTTCAAGTAGCTGGTAGCCATGCCTCCCCACAGTAGGATTTGAAATCTAGAAGCTCGGAAATGCAAATGTTTCTCTATGAGCTGTTTCCATCGTAAAAGGTTTGCTGCTTAAAACGTTTTTCACTGAAGTCGATCTTGCTCGATATTGTTTTTGTGGTTAAAGTCTTTACGCGATGTTTGCATCAAAAACCAAGTGGTATGACCAGCTGGTTGTTTTACATCCATTCTCAATCATACCCTCTAGCGCTTGTTTCTGTCGCGACGCGTGACAAAGAAGCTAGAGCGGCGCGTGTGATTTGAGAATGGCTGCAGGCTGTAAAAAATTTTTCCTTTTTCCTCGCGCGGTCTTTTTCGAAGAGACGCTTATTTCTTGTAATCAAAAAACAAATAGTTTCGATTTCATTAACTGGTCATTGATTTGTAACTTTAAAATTCGATTTATTAAAATTTAAAAAGAATCAAGAAAACTATCTTGTATTTATAGAAACAAGTTACTGTATGCATAGTGACTGCCTTATGTAAAACATGTTGGTTTTACCAATATGGGTTTTCCCAAGCGTAGGTTATTCTTACTTGCTGATAAACTTACGTTGTAGTATTCTCCATATAATGACTTCGATTTATATCTTGAGTATTTGGGTATTCTTTGCTGTCTTCACTGATCGCCAAAAGTGATCGATACGAGTTAGCAAGAGTTTTTGATGATCCATTGCTCTTTTCTTTATCATCATTTGTTATCAAAAACGATCTTTCATTATCGTATTTAAATTCTTGGGGATTCCTCATAGCACTGTTGCTTTCACTGTCCTTTATCAAGGACATAGCGATGCTTTCCTCGCCATCCATTTTAAAACCATATATTTACGTGTCGGTTAAATGTTTAGTCGAGCAAGAATAAATATTTTGAATTGCAAATTGTTTTAAGACTCGAAATGGGGCTGCCCCTGATATTAGCATCTCATTAACGCACTTCAGCATAATATATCCTATAAATAACTTGACTGACAAACAAGAGCGAATCTCATACTTAGTAATATATAGATATTTCAAAATAATATACTAAACAACGAGTAGCCTTTTAGTAAAGAGGAATCCTCGTGTAAAAGATCCTCTGCTCTATGAGGTCTCATGTTTACCCTGAAGGTTAACAAGACGCTCTTAGAGCGTATACTGGGTTGCCTAATGTGCTGGTATGCTGGAGCTTATTTAACACATAATCTTTTTTTTATGTACCGCTATTTGGGAGGGGAGGGTACTTTGCAAAATCTTAGGTGTATTAGAACTTGACCGAAAGACTCGTGGCGCCTTAAATATATTCGTTTCAAGAACCGTGTACATGGCCAAATAAGGGGCATAAATTCTGAAGTTTTCCATCTCTCATTATTGAGTGTATTCTTCACATTTAAAGAAAAGGAGTTATTAAGAAAAAATTCCTTTTCTTTGTTTTGTTTTTTTGTTTTTGTTTTTATTTATTTTTTTCGATTGCGATTGGACAAGAGGAGTACAATTAAATCCCAAATTGTACCCTGTAGAGTCCCAATTAAATTGCTCAATTTTGTTGTGCGTGCTATACCCAAAAAAATCGCACAATCTTCTCGTACAATTCGGAATTTATAGATACTCGTGAAGTTTTGCAAGTTCTAAAATTGGACGCGCCTTTTTCAGTTCGAGATCGTCCATAAATGGGTACTCTTGCGCAAGGATGCACTTTTCGCGAGATAGAGTTCCCTGCTAGCAGAGCCTATTTTCCTTTTGTTTTGGTGGAGTGAGAAAGAGGAGAGACTCTGCTAGTAGCGGGCAGAGAAAGACAAAAACAAAAAAACAAAAAACAAAGCAAAACAAAACAAAGCAAAAAAAAAAAAACAAAGGCATTTTACGACTGGGCTTCCATAGGCAACCCAGTAAAAGACGTGGTGGGGCTCCTGTGTTTTACCAAAACACAATATGGCGGACGAGAGGTGAAGAAAGGAAGGAAGGAAGAAAATTCCGCAACTTGAAGGAAAGTAACCCTCTTTGAATCATTACTATGGCCGCAATAAGGCATAACTTGCAAAGAGAGGTGTTTAAACCTAGTGAGGAGCGACTGTATGCTGTCGTAAATGTGACTAAAGCTGGAAAAAAGAAGAAAGCTAGTTTTCTATGTGCAGCTGGTAAGGTTACGTTTGAATTAACACGCCTCAAACCTCTAACTCGGAACGCTTCCAAAATGATTTATCAGTTCTCATTGGTATTATTTAATGCTTTTATCACTTATCAATCTACAGGTAACATTATCGTTCAGTATATCTGAGTTTTATTTTAATTTTTTCTGCAGTAACGATGGATAAACCAGAAACTGTTTCCCTGTATCAAGTCAAGAAGACAGATAAGGACACTTACAAAAAGAAAGCAACATGGAGGTTCAGAGATCTTACTATTATTGATGGAAAAGATGCTACAAAAGTAATTTATCTTCAATATTTTTCGTTTATTTTAGGGGGGGGGGGGGTTTGTTGAGAATTGAAGATGTACCCCCCTTACCTTTTTTACCTATGTTTTCTGATTTTTCGCAGGATACTCCAGAGTTTGATCTCCATTTTGAAAAGACATACAAATGGGTAGCAAGTAGCCATACAGAAAAGCTAAACTTCATTATCGCTCTATGGAAGGTAATTTGGCCTTTTTTGTCGATGTCATTATCATAATAATTCCATGACAGACACAGCCGCAGTTATCTGGGTTTTTGACTTCCGTCAATAAAATTTGTGATATCACTAAATATACAGTGGTCTTCCTGCATTGATTGTCTATATTTGCAGACGCCAATTCATTTAAATATATGGGCAAATACATTTCTAATTATTATTGAATGCCCCTGTACATGTCACTCCTGTCAATCAACAGCTGTGTGTGAGATACCCTACTCAAAGAAAACCAACACTTATGAATGTCAATACTGCTCTTATAGAAGGTAATGTTCAAAGCCAATGACATATTCGATTTATGTGAAATTAGTACAGTAGAACATCTATTAAGTGTACAGCCTCTTATTAAGCATGCCAAATGTCGATTCCCTGAGTGTGGCTGATAATAGAGATTCTACTGTATAGCTAGTTGTAAATTGATGACCATTAGTGCCTATTGATAATATTGCTCCATGTTATATTACTTATAAAACCATTGTCAGTAATGGTCATTTACTTACCAGTCATTTTTCAAACATTTCTTCACTACCGTAATTATTTTACAATAACAACCAATCAATCTATGGTTGGCACATAGGGTCTGTATTGCTGGGTTTCACTTGACATCATTTCTTGTCTAGTGGGGAATGTTAATCAGCTGAATCACAAGTTTTCAATAGCATTCTTTCTAGCTGACAGCACATGGTGGTCAGTGTTTGACCACCATTTGCAGCAGATAATGAGATTCAAAGACTTTTATCAGCTGAGTGAAATCAAGCAATACAGGAAAAGCATATAGATACAATTATTATAGAATAATTGCTATAAATTAGGGAAGCACTTAGGTGTGCAATAGCTGCCTCTCACTAACGTGACCCAGGTTCAATCCTGGGCACAATGTTTTATATGAGTAGAGTTGCTTGTTGGTTCTCTCCTGTGCTTTGGGGCAGTTTTTCTCTAGTTTTGCTCTCCAGTTTTTCTCTTCTTTTAAATTGCAATTAAATCTGGTGTGGAAAGTTCTGGAAACTTACTCAGGAAACTTACTCAGGAGACTGAGCAATCACTTTCCGCAGTTGACACAAATAAATTCAGACTTTACATTTTATTTTTTCATGCAGAGTATTTTGATTCTTTTTAAAACATGACTTACTGTTTTTCCAGAGAGCATTAATATAGAGACTGGTAGAGCACAACAACACACAGATGAAGGAGTCACAGGTGAGCATCAACCCAATATAATTGTACTTTCTCCCTTTAGTTCTTGTCCCTTTCCCAATGAACTAATATTTCATCCTGTTTTAATCCTTTCACTACTAAAGCAGCCAAAAGAAGCCAACGGGAAATGCTACATTTTACCTAAGGGCCAAAAGCAGCCAGCGGAAAGACATTTTTGCTTTTCAATTACCCATCCCCTAGAACATTTTTCATTTTGATATTGAGAAATAAAAAAAACCCTAATTATGTTCCAGGAAGAGCCTGTGTTGGACCCTTTTAGCCTCTAGTAGTGAAAGGGTTAAACACAGCTTGGAAGATTACCAGGATTTAATGCAATGGCAAGAAAATGAGCCATTATTTCTGTGCTTTCTCTCTGTTGTTCTCTATTTGTCCCTTTTTCAGTAAACCAATATTTCATCTTGTTTTTAACCGAGTTGAAGATTAGCACAATTTAAAGAAAACAACCTTATTACTGTAATTTCTCCCTTTTGTTCTCTATTTGCCCCTTTTTCAGTAAACAAATATTCATCTTGTTTTTAACCGAGTGGAAGATTAGCACAATTTAAAAAAAAACAACCTTATTACTGTAATTTCTCCCTTTTGTTCATTAATTTTACCCTTTCTTAATGAACCATTATTTCATCTCATTTTAAACACAGTGGAAGATTACCAGGAGTTAACACAACGTGAAGAAAACGACCTTGAGCACATGATGTCCCAAACAGAGAATGCTATCAGTAACTTAGAGGAGTTTAATGAACAGCTGTCAAGAGAGCTGTCTGTTCTTGACAGCGTAAGTGAAATCTGCCTATCAACTGGTCATATGCTCAATTGACCTATAACATTATGACGTCACAGCTTGTTTACATGGGCAAGAATGATAGGAATTTAGGCGAAATTTTCTTTCGTTCGGGATATTTAATACAACATTTATCTGTTTTCACCTTTCCCCGTCTAATTAACCATTTTTTATTGTAATTTAATTCGTTTTGCTACTATTTTGCCCCCTCTGGCAACCATGATCCTTAGCGTTAAAACAATAGATTGTTTTGATGTGACGTCACAGTGTTATAGGGCAATTCCTTCTTTATTATTATCTTTATTTAAAGTTTGATTAGGGGGTAGAGCAAAGATTATTTCAGAAATCAATAAAAAAAGTTTCCTCATATAAGAACTTGGAAAAGAACCAATGAGATTAAGATTAATTTTTTAAATAGTTCTCATAATTTTGAATAACTTTATTACATGTAGCAATAACAAGTTTCAATAACAAGTTGAAATACATCGTTGTCTATATCCTAGAAAAAAAACCTTCCAGCGGATATTCATAGATTTTCCCTACTCTAGAGACAAAATTATGGTTTTTTATTATGAATTTATTGTTTTTTTCTCGTGTTGATATGGGTAATCGTGTATCTCATGACCAGCCAATACGTGTCCGTCGACTTTCTTGAAGTACACAATTACCATTGATATGTAATATGTTCTGACAGTATAAATAACTTAGATTTGTACTTTATTGGCAGGCTAACATCCAATCTATCATGGCCTCTGAAGACCAAGTAAATAGTCTGATGGACTTGTTGGAAGCTTCTTTAGCTGAATTGGATAAACTGGATACAAGACTAACACAGTATGATGAGGTCCTCAAGGTAATGTTTCTACTCTTCTGGAAACAAATTTGCTATAGACCCCTAACATTAATCTTCAATCTAAGGGTCAAAACTAAAACATTCCTTCTCTTGAGAATTGAATATTTTTTATGTTACTGCTATTTTCATTTTAACACGAAAACTCTGTAGCTGTGGCAGTCAAAAATATGGGAGATACAGACTGATTAGTTTTGATTGATGACAGCAAAAAACTAAATTTCAGCTTGCGGTACGCAGCTAGCAAGTTTGCATATGTATGAAAATTTCAGTAATGTTTTTCATTTTTTATCATACCCAAATAGGGATTTTGCAATGTAAGGGATCTTTTTACAATAACTTACAAACAAATTTCTCTTGTGCTGATTGGTTATTTTTTTATCATCAATAAGAGGACAAACAGATAAAGCTGATGTCGATGATCTCGCGCTCTTTCCGTTTGTTGTCTTGATCACTAAAAATGAGAATTTTTGATGTAATTGTGCCTGTTTTTTCATCACAGACTGTGCACAACCAGATGGAACAAATGGAAGATAAAGATCGACACATGGAAACGGAAAGCGCAAATCGAAACAAGCTGATAAAAGAAGTTGAATATTTGGTGGTATGTAACTATTTAGTAAATGAATGAAAGAAGAATGGAAGGAGGGAAGGAAGGAAGGGAGGAAGGGAGGAAGGGAGGGAGGGAGGGATAAAGGAAGGTGGGAGAAAAGGAGGGAGAGAGGATCACTTGGGCACAATGGGCAAATGGACATGTGAAATTATACTAGTTACGGATGTCACTGAACTGTGTTTTCACACCAGAAAAACACACCATGGACATGCCTCCAAACGTCATGGACATGCCTCCAAACGTCTTCAACTTGACAGACAAACATTTACCTTTTAGTCTGCATTCCTTTCTTCACATGTCAGCATTTTTAATAATATATTTCCCACAAATTATCAAAAGGCTGCTGACACATGGAAAAAGGAATGCAGATTAAAAGTTTGATGTTTGTTGGCAAACTCTTAGATGGTTAGAGGTGTGACTATGGCATCTTTTTCTGACATGAAAACCCAGATTGGTGACATCTATAGTAAATAAATATAAGTAAAAAAATAATAATATGGGGGATTTATCAGGAAATTTTCTCAAACATTTGGCAGTGTCTCTTCATTTTTCTTTTAATTTTCTGACATTAATTTTGTCTTCCCAATTACAGGGTACACTTGGCATTCCTGAGAGGCACATCACAGCTTTAAAGCAAGGTGACCTTTCAAAGGGACTTGCTGTCAAAGAGTGCACTAATGCTGCTGAAGCTGTTCTTGCTGCATTAACGGCAGACATCCATCCAGGTAATGTGATGTATTTATTAATCATTGCTTTGACTCTTAGGTAACCTGAATCCATTATACTCTTTACATACTTGTCTACATGGAAGAATGGGATTGATGGGATGGGTAGGATGGGTGAAATGAAGGGGCTGAGGGATTAATGGGTGGGTTGTATGATGTATGGGTAGGGGATAGGTGGGTAGGGGATGGGTGGGTAGGGGATGGGTGGGTAGGAGATGGGTGGGTAGAGCATGGGTGGGTAGGACATGGGTTGGTAGAGGATGGGTGGGTAGGGGATGGATGAATGGATGGATGTGTGGTTGGATGGATGGGATGGATGGAAGAATGGATGATATGGGCAAATGGGATAGATGAATGGGATGGAAGGAGGAAGGACAGGAGAGATTGAGAGAGGAAGGGGAAAAAAAGAAGGGAAGTAGAGAGTAAAGCTGGGAGTGATGGATGAATAAAAAGGTATCTAATTATCATGCATCTTCATTAGGACTAACAAAGATGAAAGCTGTCAAAGAACAGCAAGAGAAGTATGAACAAATAAGCAAAGACTTTGCACATAGATTAAAACAACACCTGCTAGGAATATTTCAGCAACATGTAAGTTTTTCCTGGATTCTATGCTGCCATTTGCGTTTGAGCACAAACCACAAACATTTTCTATTTTTGTTTTAGTTTGAAAAAACTTCAAATTGCCTGGAGCTTGGAATTTTTTCCCAAGAAAAATTTGCTTAAAGAATCAGTTCTCTAAAAATGGGAAATGTTTGTGGTTCATACTCAAACGCAAAATAGCAACTGGTAATTTTGTGATTGTGTGGAGCTGAACTGGTTTGATTAACATTAACATTTGGCTCATGATTCAAAGTCATTGTGGAGAATTTTATCAATTTGAGAAATATGTAAATTATACTATTGAAGTGCTATGTGAGAGGCTTTTGAGTTTATAGTTAAATAGAATTAGAAAACTCATTAATAATTCATGAAGAAAACACAATAGAAATCATGACCATGAAGGTGATTTTATATCTGATAAAGATTCGTCTTCATTTGCATAAACTTTAACTTGGATTTTCTCTATCAAACTTGGTTCATTTCGTAAAAAAATCGGTACACAATGAGAACAAACATCATAAGTTTTCTAAGCCATTCAATAATCGCGCAGATCGTGTTTTATCGGGTCTAAAACCACTCGGCTGCACCTCGTGTTTTATACCCGATAAAACACTCCTGCTCGTTTATTAAACATTACTTAAAAAACTCATTAATAATTCATGAAGGAAACACAATAGAAATCATGACCATGAAGGAGGTTTTATATCTGATATAGATTCATCTTTATTTGCATAAACTTTAACTTGGATTTTCTCTATCAAACTTGGTTCATTTCGTAAAGAATTCGGTACATTATGAGAACATACATCATTCAGGAGTTTTTTAAGCCGTTTAATAAACTCGCAGATCGTGTTTTATCGGGTCTAAAACCACTCGGCTACACCTCGTGTTTTATACCCAATAAAACACTCCTGCTCGTTTATTAAACATATATAGCACTCTTGGAATTTGCATAATATTAGAGTATCTGTTTTGACTGGTAAATGCAATTCGATCATCGTACTGGCTGAGAAATGGGAAATGACACTCTGGGATTAAAATTATGGCCAATGTTTGGGCCATTGCTTGATTACGTTCTGATATAATTAGTTCTGATATGCCATACTTTTGAAATTACTTTGGATACCACTCTCTGATAGGTATTTATGGTACACTGTATATACATTAATGATTTTAATATAGGTACCATTTCTTTGAGTACTGACTGTTTCTTTCATAGGGTGTTGATACTGATATGCCTGCCAAACACTCAAGTGAGCTCCATCTGCCAAAACACCTAAACTGCCACAAAGAGCTGTTGCCGTACTGCGATCTAATGAAATGGCTCAAAGAAATTGATCCTGAAGTTTTTTTGGAACTTTGTCTCGTAAGTATTAATCAACAAGAACCAGAAAGCTTGGGTGGTACAGCAGTAACACTTATATTACCTTCCACAAGTCAAGTAGTGAACATTTATTTATTTATTTATTTTTTGTTATTTTTCTAGGCTTATGTGAATTCCTTGAGTAAAATATATGAGAGACAACTAAAGGAGTTTTTTGAGACGGCAAGGCAAAGAGCAATTTCCAAAGGATCTAAATGTAAGTTGAAATGCACTATTGCATTACAAAAAGTCTTATCCAAGAAAGTTTGATGATTCACATACTCATTAATTGTGGGGGAATATAAAGGAGAGTTTTTTTCTCGATTTGTTAAACCTACGCTAGTGATACTTCATTGGATCAGAGATGAATCATAACAGGGTAAAACTCAAGAACAGTGCTCAGATACTTTGGCCAACTATTGGCTGTGTCTGGTTGACATCCCACCATTACTCCATCGACAGTGCTATCATCTGGCCATTGCACGGCCAACAGTTTCTAAAGAAAAGATACCGCCTGGCATCTTAAACTCTATTCTTCTTTATTATTTTTTGTTTGAACCGAGAGTCCAAAATTGACTCTGACTAAAACGTCACTTAATCATCCCTATTAGAAAAGGTTCATTGACTATTTCACAGTTTACCAGTACTTAAGAAAATTAATTATCATATTAATAGCCATGCATAGTGCATTCAAGATGACCAGCTCAAACCCCATCAGTAAACTAGATGACCATGGAGTAAGAATGAGTCCACGCCCAAGCCCTCGCCCATTGACTCACAAGTTTCGAGGCAGAGACAGAAGAGATACTGGGGACTCTGGTTCAGATAGTATTTCACAGTCAGGGTCCATTGGTTCTTATGAATCTGCTTCTCTCACTCTTGAAACTAGAGGGAGATTTGATAGGGTTAGTATTGGGATCTTACAGTATGATTCATTTTGACTGTGTTATTTGACAGTCACATAACTATCTGCGTAGCATGCTCTCATTGGCCAAGAACTGTGGTGTATTGATGGTTTTCAACCATTCCCAAAGAAATTAAATAACAAAAGAAATGGTGGCCATGTTGGAGGATATAACAAAAGAATTCATTGACAATTCTTTTGTTAAGTTCCTCCAACATGGCCACCGTGAAAACCATCGATAGACCCTTTGCAGTCGTATTTGTATCTTGTATTTTTCATTATATGCCACATGGAGGGACCAGCTGAGGCACATAAACCTCTATTGAGATCTCCCTAGACTCTCATCAGAAATAAGAATGCAAGGCTGGAAATGGTGGGGCATTGACAGTATAAGGAATGAAGGACTGCCAGTCAAACATGTTGGTCTTGTAGGAGCCTAAGCATGGGCATGCATATGGGGGAAAGTAAATTAAACTTTCTTTAACCCCCTTAAAAGGGACACAGGCCTTGTCTCCTCTGCAGAAATAAGATGATGTATGTTGGACTGTAGCATATGGTGTGCAATGATTGCTTGAGGAGACTCGGGTTGATTTTATAATTGTAAACACTTTCTTTGTTTCTTATTGGTAGGTGTTTGACATTCTTCTTTCTGAGTTGGAGCCAGTTTGCACATCAGAACAACAATTTGTTCAGAAATTCTTTGACTTTTCGATGGATGAATTTGAGGTATGAATAAAAGATGCAATTTTTTTGCGCTTGGTCTGAAATAGGAAAAAAACAACAAGCAAGCTTAAATCGTCTATCATTGGTTTTTATTTTATAGTCTCAAGATAGTTCTGGTGGAGGGAGTGATGCTTCTGATGGTGCATTCATGAGCAAAGGATCGGGGTATTTTATTCTTTATTTTAATGATAACAGTACTTCATTTTGAGATCAATCATTAATCTCTAATTATTCTTATATTATACAGGGATGTCAGAGAGAGAAAACAATTAAGTGAAGATGTCAGGTTGGTATATATTTTCATAGGAATTTTCAATGGCATTTCATTTCAAGCTGTAGACTAAAAGTATGAATCTGGAAAGCTGTTAAACCAATTGAGTAAAAATATTTTCCTGCAACAGAGTAACAGTGAGTAACAGTGATTGTTATTATTGCACACTTATTAATACTTTTCAAAGATACATGCTCTTAATTTCTTTTTCAAGTATTTTAACTTTGCCATATCAAGAAATACATTTTTTTACATTCAAATGACAAAGTAAAACTGGCTTGGAATGATTTGAATGTCATTCAATTGTCAATGAATAAACCAGCCCTAAAATGCCTCAAAATACAAAACATTGATGGATGAGATAACAATAAACTCTGTTAAAACAGGTTTTTACTGTTTCTCCTCCAGCCTTCATACTTTGGTATAGACCATATTTTTCTAAATGTTAATTTTTTTAAATGAATTTTTAATCTGGAGATCTAGGCTCGGTTGTACAAAGAGTGGATATAGCGCTAACCGCTTATCTACTGGATGAATTTATTGGATAACAGCATTGACTTATCCACTGAATAAAGATTTTTCTGTCAGATAGCCCTAGATTGTAGGGCTAAAAATAAATAATTACAGTCAAGTACATTTGGTGACATTTTGAATATTTAAAAAAAAAAAATATCCAATGATTATACCTTTTAAATTTTCAGAGCTATGTTGTCTACACTTTGATTTATCATTTTAAATTTTATAACGTTGCAAGTATTTTCCATGCATGTGGTATATACAGTTAACTTTGCATACTGATTAGGGCATGGTCTGGGGATATTACAGCCGTTTACAATCCTGTTGATAAAGTATGTTACAACAGACATGATTGGCATGAAATGGCAAGAGACACTGCACCACAGATTTTGTGAAATTGAATAGCACACTCTCTAAGCCATTCCGAGGTTGGGAAATAAACAGGGCCAAGTTTGCATTGTGGGCAGTTTTAGGGACATGCACCTAGCTAGTGTGTTCAACTGGCAAATGGGATTCTCATTTCTCCCTTTTTCTAATTTTCATCCCCTTCCCATTCTTTCCGACACTTCAAAACATGAGGGTCATTCATCAAAGGTTTTAATAATCTATTGGTCTAGTTTTATAAATGAGCAGTATAAAACAGGTCATATACTGTACTTAAATGACTTAAATCAGTCCACTGATTGTTTTCTCAGCAGACGAAGAAAGATGAATGAACGGCGTGAAGAGATTAAGTAGGTTTTAAAAACCTCCCTAAACATGGCACATAAAACTGATAATGAATGAGGAGAGGTGCTATTATCCTAAATATTGAATGCTAAATGTTAACTTTACCAAAGCAGTGCACATTTTATTATAATTTTTAAAGCAAATATTTTTAGTTAAGCTCTAAGCATTTTATTTTATTTGTACTTGCTTATACAAAACATACCCTAAACACTATTATTTTTGTGTGCTTTTAAATGGATTGGATACAGGTAAGGCAATGGACTGGGGGGAGGGGAGGGAGGGGGAAGTGGATGGGAATCAAAGAGGAGTGCATGTTTCCCCTTACTATACCAAATTACCTTCCATAATGGTCCATTCATAATTATAATTTATGGTTTACGAGTTGGGGCATGGGGGGTTATTAATTGGAGTTTGAGAGGGAGCCACCAAATTACTTTATAAAAAAAACTCAAAAAATATAATTTCAATACAAAATTTAGGGGAGCTATAAAAAGGGTTGTCATATCTTTATATCAGTCAGATTCTGATGGGTTGGGGCAAAAATGGGGTGCTACCAAAATATTATGGTATAGGTGAATGCTCTGATTCCATCCCTCACCCCCCACCCCTCCACCCTAACTCCCACTCTTCTCAGAATGCACTGACCTGTAAAATCACAGTTTCATTAACTATAAAACACTGCAATATAAACACATTAAACTACCACATCAGCATTAAAGCTAAAGCATGGTAAACACTTTCATGTTAAACTGCATTAAATGTTAAACATTTCATCTCCAGTAACTAGATTGCATTATAAAATTACACATTTTTAGTTCACTTTTAATTATTTTGCTTTTAGCTTAAGCAATTATAGCTTAGTTTTTTTTTCTAGTTACCTTTTGCACTTTTATTGAAAAAAGTTTCAAATTACTTGTATTTTTGTGCTTGCAGTACAGCATCCTTCAATTTTCATCCTTCTCTCCTTTTCTTTCGCTTTCCCTCTATCTATTTCTTTTACTCATCCATTTTGTGATGTGTTTGGTTTTTTTTTTTCTTGTTTCATTCCATTTTACCAATTTTCGTTTTCTTGTTTCTTTCTCTTTCTTCCTTTCTTCTTTTCTTCCTTCCTACCTTCCTATCTTCCTTCCTTCCTTCCTTCCTTCCTTCCTTCCTTCCTTCCTTCCTTCCTTCCTTCCTTCCTTCCTTCCTTCCTTCCTTCCTTCCTT